CCGTCCTATTTCATTACTCGTTAGCAAAGTGTTTGGGAAACTTGTTTAAAGCCGTTTGTTTTCGTTTCTAACCTCAATAAACTTTTAAATCGGACTCAGTTTGGATTTCGTTCTTCTTCCTCTTACACATAAGGTTTATCAGAACGTAGAGAAAAAGAAGAAGTTAATCGGTATTTCGTTTCATTTTGAAAAGGCTTTCGACACTCTGCCACATTACATTCTTCTTCAATTATTGTAAACGCTACAAAGGGGTAACGTTCGATTGAGCGCGCATTTTTACTCCATGCTCCTACATATATATCGAAACTCATGAAACCTTTCCTAGGCTATTTTACAGGATGCCGAAAATAGAAAATCCAGCTTTAGGTACTTGTGTTATACTTTGAAGAAAACCCAAGGTGATATTCGGAATCAGGTGGTCAAACTGCATCGGCCTACATATAGAAAGTGTCATTTTCGTGAAAGTCAGTTTCGGCGAAAAATTGGTGAAAAGCAACTAGGAAACATTTTCCTATAGATTTAGAGAGTATTTGAAAAACATATCCTACTATTCTGGTGGAACTATGACGAAAGAAATATATAAAACTTTTAAAAAACTCACGAAAACAAACATTAACAAAAGTATATATACTTTTGTTATTTGTTGTTTTGTTTCAATATATATATATATATTGAAACAAAACAACAAATATCCTCATTTTATGTTTTGTTTCTTGAAATTCATGACGAAAAGTCTCAATAATTATCGCTATTCGTTGTTGTTTACAATTGAAAGATGAAACTGATCTGACGCCAATTCAATGACTAATTCTCAGAAAACCATGAAAAACCTGAGGATTTTTTGGGAAACAAGGATAAAATGAGGTTAAGACCTTTTAGACATTTTACCGAAAAGGAATTGTCAAATGCTGAATAGAAATATAGTTTCAGGAAAACACCAGATTTTTCTGTCATGCCCAGTCGCTTATGGTAAAACTCCTCACTATGCCCTAATAATGATAGTACCCGCAATTAGTGAAATCTTTCCTCGGCTATTTTAGAGGTTTTCGCCCAATCACAGATTTTTGATCGAAAATCCAGTTTTAAGAAAACTAAGGTGATATTCAGGATCAGCGCATTAAACTACATCGAATAATATGTACCTCAACATACTTTTCAAAACAAAATAAGTTTTTGAAAAAAGGCGGGGTCCCCCACAGGCATACTTTTTCGAAAAACTCTTTTATTTTCTTAAAAACGATTTTCTGAGTGGTAAACTGTCAGTTCTAGTTAAATGAAAGAAGGTTCTGAGCAAAAAAACGTCATTTCCACATGCTTATGCTAAAGCTTCCTACTGTGCGCCCTCCTCACCCACCCCACACACACTTCAGTTCCCCTTAGAAACACCAAACGGCAATAGTTCTGGACTGGAATGATTTATCACGATTAATGACAAATATACAAAAGCTTATTAAGACCATAAAAAAATGGTTTGTAGTGATGAGTTTTCTCATTTTCTTAGAACTATGTCCAACCGCCAGATTACATTCAATCCGTTTCCAGTCTTTTCTCATCACTAACGTCATCTCTTTTTTCACAATTTGCTGTAATGAACGAGACCATCTCAGCGGCACTATTAAATTTTATATACTTAGATGATAGTCCCTCGCCACTTTTACCTACAAAAACTTTCCATGGTATATCATCAGCCGGACATTGATTTCCGTCTATAACTGGTAGCCCACAGAAGTAACCTACGATGCCTTCGTGGTCTGTATCTTTATGTAATATCTTGTCCGTCCATCGATTCATACTATTAGTGGATACCCCGGTATGGTCCAAGAAGTCTTGTAAAACTTTATGAGTTTCATCTGTCTTAAATTGTAATTGAGTAAATACGTCCTTAAGATTTTTAAAACAAGGTCGATCTTCCGGTGGCCCAGCCATACATTGATCAAGAATAATTGACCAACTTTCTATTGAACACGCCGGAGGTCGCTCTAGTCTATGACCTT